ATCTGGGTAACGAGACCACAGTATTTAGATTATCTGGAGAAACATTTTAAAGGCCGTTGAAAAATCCTTTTCTTTTTTTTTTAAACCTATTCAGTGAGTGATTTCTTTATTTGCTAGACTGATTACTGTGAATGTAGAGCAACAACGTATACATTCAAACTAGAGTCTTCAGACATACAAGATTTACAGCCACAAAGGAACACATCAATGACCGCCTTCACACCTTGTGTATCAAGAGGATGTAGAACTGTGTACAGAAAGTACAGTTTTGTGTCAGACAGATCACATTCATTAACAAACACACAAACTTAACAAGCAATATGTTCCCATTCTACTATAAATTACTCAAATAAATCAAAGCAGTGCTAAAAAAGAAGCAGTATTTCTGGTCACTTGTGCTATAAAGGAAAATAGTTTCTTGGAATTCACGAGTGGAGAGGTCTATTCCAAGCCCGCATGTGCCGATCTTGGATCTTCCGAGCAAATGTTCAGGAGTGTAACAATGCGTGCAAAACACTGGAGACAAGGATACAGAACTGCTTCTATAATTGCCTATTGCTGCTTCAAGAGTCAGGCTAAAAAGAGAACGCTACCTTTCCCAGTGACAGGATAGTATTTTCCAAGCAAAGGTCTGGAAAAGGGGAACTCTAAGACATTTTACATTTTCTGTGACTATGGACCTTATTATTAATAGTGAAATGAGAGACACAAAGACACTTTAGACCACCTGGCAGAACAGCTACCATTCCAGAGGACAGCTCTACCCAACATAATAGCTCTGGGCTTGCTTTCCTCTTGAAAGTGCATTTGGAGAGTGTGCTGTGGTTGGAAGAGGGCTGCCCAGAGCACATTGCACTTCAGCTACTCTAAATTGGTAACCGGGCTCTCTGTGGAAAGCAGCTTGCAGTAGATCTGTGGGACTGTAAATTGCATGGGGTGGGCACAAGGCAGGGACAGAACTAGGAAACCATAAAAGTGGCCTAAAACAACTTTTCCTGCCTCCCCCCTTTCCCATACTCAGTAGAGTTACGGGTACAGAAATAGCTATCCTTTATTGACCTACTTCCCAGGCATGTGCTCAAAAGCAATCAGTTCATACAAGAAACACAGAAATGCCAAGCTTTATAACACAGCTTCTTTTAAGTGCTCGGGATACTGCTACAGAGACATTATTCAAAGCCTGCTATGGGCAGCTGATATTTTAAGAAGCAGCTTCCAAAAAAAAATCTTTTGTTTCCTGTCCTATGACAAGCCACATGACCAAGCACGTCATTCTGTAAGGCGGGTGGGGGAAAGCGTTTGGCAGTGTGGGAAAGGGAGGGTTAGGACTACATAATCTATTTGTTTGTCTTACTGCTTGAACAACAGTACTGTAGAACGAGACAGTACCAAGCAGCTACTGAGAGTTATTCTGCTGAGTACAATGATAATATAAAAAAATATATAAAAGCATTCTTGTCCAATGGATGAATGGTTTGGGATGGAGGTCCTACAGGAGGGCTAGGAATAAACTCATCTGAGGTTTGTTAAAAAGGATGGTCAGCATTTGGTACAAAAAAATGTTGGTCTTCTGAAGTATTTTATGGGATCTACCAATAGATTCTCTCCAGTAGGGGTGACATAGACTTATCTAGACAAGGAATGAACTTCACTCCAAAAAATGGGTGTCGCCATTATATTCCAGGACATTTGTCTGTGAGCCCACTATTCATCCAACACTTCCCAAGCAGCTCCCTCTATCTAACCTACCACTAAGCGTCCCTCAGCAGGGCAACACTTTCAAGAACCAGTAATACCCTATCCTTACTAGCAGGGGTGGGGGGAAGGAAGCTAATACTGCTGCATGTATGCAGCAAACAAGTATGGCAAGGACTTTAACGAAGATTGCAAGTTTTCTGCTGGGGGACTTAGGGTTGCTTTTACAGAGAGGCTCTGTGACGCTGCAGCTGCTGAGGACTTGGAACTTGCAGGTGTGCACTTTGCCTACCACTTAGCTGACACAGGAACCAGGGCTTGGATATGTTTCCTGCTTTCTCAGCTATTTTAGGAGAGGGGAGGTAGTCATGTGTGGTTTTCTTTCAGCCTTTCTTTCACTACTGGACTTCTTGAGGCCCAGTCCTGTTTTCATTGAAATGAATGAGCTTTTTGTCATCGACCCCCGTTTAACCCCTGACAATTTATTATGGACCCTATTGCTATTGCACCTGGGTGTCTTGTGATCCAAAGGTTTATTTATCCTCATGCTTTGGATCACACTTCTGAGATAGATAAGTGCCATAATCTTATTATAATACAGGGAATGGAGATAAAGAAGGTGGATGGCCTGGAAATTCAGTGTGTGAGGTATAGATATCTATAATGCTGACTAAAAGATATCTCTTAGTTCAACTGATTTCCTCAGAACTCCTGCTCGGATGCCACTCAGCAAAGCAGAATAAGCCAAGTCATATAAGGCCTTGATGTGCGGAGCAGCTTCGGACATAAACCTAGCCTTGATTCCCTAGAAAGGTACTCTTTCCTCAGCCTCCTTTCCCAATGGGGCCCAATTCAGTCTCTAATAACCTTTAATCTGATGGAGGAGGAAATGACACTGCTACTCGCACACAGCAGTCTTTTGGCTACGTAAAAGACCCAGATTTAAACTCTCTTGCTACCTGGCTTGGATCAGTTACTTAAACCTAAGTATGCCAAACACCAGATTGCAAGGGTAGTTCCTCTTAGTGTTCCTGTTAAATCTGAATTATTGCATGTATATATTCACTGGGCTAGAAACAGAAGAGTGATTCCGCAGTCAATGGCTCAGGCACAGATCTTTCTTTGGGTCCCAGCTCCCAGGAGCAGGGAGTTATTTCCCAGCAGTTCTCACTGGCTAGGTTCCAGGAATCACAATCCTAGCACTAAGCTGTGACTCTTCTGCTAGGGAGGCCTGGGTACCTAACACAGTACAAAGGACACTAGGGCAACTAGGCTCTTAAAAGTCAGGCTGGAGTTGCTCTGTACTTGGACACTTAAATCCTGCTTACTGTGTTTACCATCATCTACTGCAGGGTGTCAAAAGGTCTTGAATCATGAAGATCTGACCATCCGCCGTGGATGACTGGGTGAGGTGGTGCCTCCCCAGGTGTTGCTTTGAGACAGCTGATATATGCCCTCAGCCTACAACTGTACCTGAGAATGTGGAAGCATACTTGTATTCAGTAGACTATATGCAACCTCTAGTTTTTGTCCTTCATAATGTGCCTGAGGTCACATAGGAACTCTGTGCTGGCAGAGAACTGAGCCAGATCATCTAAGTACCTCCCTGGAGCTCTACCCACTGGGACGAATTTCCTCTCAGTGGAGCAGGACAGGACTTTTGACAAGCAATCCAATTAGCTTCTTTGGAACAATCAAAGTTTTTTAAAACATTTGGCCTGTAGTGGATTAAGCTTCTTGTCATGGTGGTAGCTGACATGCGATATCTAAATTCTTTGCAGGAATCACTGATGATTAAACAAGTCTGTATCTCATGTTTTTACAAGCTTTTAGCAGAAAGGCTTTGCCCAACATAATTATTAGAAAGGCACATTGATTTCTGGATTACAACTTCATTAATGCTGATACACCTCAGTACAATTATAGGCTGCTGTAGTCACTTCTGATGATAGTCATAATGACGATAGCCCCTGGGGAGGCCACATCTGGAGTACTGTGTCCAGTTCTGGGCTCCCCAGTACAAGAGAGACATGGTACTACCGGAGAGAGTCCAGCGGAGGGCTACCAAGATGATGAGGGGACTGGAGCATCTCTCCTATGAAGAAAGGCTGAGGGAGCTGGGCCTGTTCAGCCTGGAGAAGAAAAGACTGAGAGGGGATCTGATCAGAGTGTACAAGTATCTGAAGGGAGGGTGTCAAGAGGATGGGGCCAGACTCTTTTCCGTGGTGGCCAGCGACAGGACGAGAGGCAACGGGCAGAAACTGAAACACAGGAAGTTCCATCTCAACATGAGGAAAAACTTCTTTCCTGTGAGGGTGACAGAGCACCGGACCAGGTTGCCCAGAGAGGTTGTGGAGTCCCTTTCCCTGGAGATATTCAAAACCTGCCTGGACGCAATCCTGGGCAACGTGCTCTAGGTGACCTTGCTTGAGCAGGGGGGTTAGACTAGATGATCTCCAGAGCGCCCTTCCAACCTTGGCGATTTTGTGACTTTCTAAGGACAGAAGTCCCATAGTTTGCATAATCTGTCAGATGAGAAGAGATACTAGGAAAAAAGATGTAGCAGAGTTCCAGAAAAAAAAAAAAAAATTTCACATCCGAGCCAAAGCACAGGAAACTGGGGTTAGCTGTCAAGAAGGATGGGAGAAGAGGGCATACAGATAAATGCTATTTAAATAACATTATTAAATCAAGTAAAACTTCAGGTAATTTCCTCTAATTCTGCTGACAGTATCTGATCTTCTGGATTTTGCTTTGTTTTAAAACAATGCTGCTGGAGAGAAATAAGTGCAATGAGAGAGCAGCAAAACAAGTTTTCAGCACATGGACCTCTAATGCATGTATGCTGCCTCTTTAAATCTTACAAGCTTTAATGCTTCAAGTGCTGGAGGGATATTCTGCAACATGGGGTTTCAGGCAGAATTCTTAATTGAATTGAAACTGTTCTGGTCTGCAGACAGGAAAAGTAGTTGTTTATATTAAAATATCTTCTCACTAGGCAGTTAAAATGTGTTTTCAAACATCAAGCTACAATAGAAGCCATTTAAAAACCCCAATATTTTCCAACCACACACAATTACCCCAAATAATTCCTATTCAAATTCAGGGAAAAATTATGGCAAGATATTTGCTACTATTATGAGGTCAGCTGTTGGCAAATGCTAGTATTTTAATGACAACCATAATAGTAACCCATCACCACGACTAGAGCAAGCAGATTTATCTGGTGTGGAGCACACTGGTGAGCAGTTTACTTACCTGAAGCAAATTTTTATTATAAGCAAGGGTTAAGAATGGTGACTTACCAGCTCTAAGAATCTCCTCACTACCTGTCTTTGTTTTAAGTTAGTTTCACCATCCAGGTTAGCTGTTTCTATATGGCACAGCCCATCAGGATCACTTGAAGAGAGCAGCAATATGTCAGCAGGTATAATTTCATTACAGCGAAGCTGAACAAAGTCTCCAACTTTCACTTCTTTCCAATATCTGCTTATGTATTTCTTTTCATTCCTAGAAAAAAGACATTTAAAGAACATGTATCAAAAAAACCCAACAAAAAACCCCCATGTAGATCAGGGTGCCTCAGATAAGATCTGGTTTAATTTGCAACAGGAGCACAGCGTCTTTGAGTTCCTCAAATACTTTCAAGTCATGCCATGAAAAGGTCACACAGACTGCCTGGAGGCCAACTATCACCAACTAAGAACCAGGTCAGGGCTCCCAAGGGCTTTGGGAAAAAAAAACAAAAAACACCACCACCACGATGCTCTTTATGGCCCAGAGTACCACAGGTGGCTGTTGGAGCTGGGATCCTAGGGGTAAGTGGGTGCTGCACATCCTCCTCCTTCCCTCAGTGGTCCAACCCACCTAGCTGACCCCATGAAGGGGAGAGAGCTATTGTGTGCCACGAGTGAGGAGGAGTCACAGACTGACGTATCTCCCGCACTTCGGGGCAAGCGGGGGAATGGCAATGCAACTGAGAATAGGCATAGGCACAACACCTCCTTGGCATGGCTCCTGAATGACTTTCTTCATACACCACCTTCTGATATACCCTCAACTGGCTCCCACTTTTCCCTCTTTCCAATAGGGACAAAGTTTGTATAGCGCTGCATGTGAAATTTGGATGAAGGAGCCAAAAATCTGTAACTGAAAGAAATTTCCAATATTTATCACTAAATCTAGAATTGCAAGAACATCTCCTGTGCAAAAACACAGCCCCAAGTACTCTGCAGGGAGAGGACACAACCGTTTCTTTTAAATATTTCTGCAGTATCACCATATTAACCATAGTGCCATCTGTTACATAGCTCATTTCTGCTTAGTTACTGTGAACATTTTATTTTGGAGCGTAATGTCTTTGTCGCTTCAAAGACTTATCCAACTGAAACATTAATGTGTATGTTGTTCATTTAGATATAGCACTACACCTCTCTATTTTTAAAAGTCATGATAATTGGCTACTTGGTTTTTTTACTTTTTATTCAGAGCAAGAGGAAAAAAGAACAGGTGCTTGCTTAATTAATTCTAGTTGAAATTCAGGTTTTTAGCTTTAAAAAACTAATGTGCTTTCTTGGCATTTGCGAAAATTGCTTTCCTTCATTGTGTTTTTGAAAGAAATTCCTTCCAAAACAGCCACAATATTAACTGGGTAAAATACCTCCTGAAAAGGGGAAGCAGTTATTGTGACTCTTTTGTAAGCTGCCAGAAGACACTGTAAGCACCTAGGCTACTGTCACCCAGGGCTGGCACCCTGTCACTGACAACGAGGGATAGTCTTCCTTGACAGTACTTAAACAGGTAGAATGGGATTCTGAAATAGAGGAGGTGCTATTTCATGTTCTTTAAAAGTATATTATTTTAAAATACATTACTTTCAGTAGTAACATGAATAGACTTGTAACTAAATGGAAATATACAGGAGTCCTGCTAATGTTGTCTGGGGTTACTGATAGTGATGCTCTGCCCAACTCATCTCTGTCATGCCTTCAAGGGTGTTAAAGGAATTAGTACATTAGTTTACTTTCATTCATTTATTTAGCCTGAGCCCTAAGGAGTAACATCTCAGGTAACGCAGCAAGGATGAATCAGATCATGTTTTACCTCCCAGAATTTCTTCACTGCCCTTTTCTAACATCCAGTTCATAAAAGGAAGAAATAAAATTACGGATGTACTCTCTATTTGGATAAAGCCTGGAAACGATTAATGAGAGCTAAGTGTAAAACATGATAGTCTAACAAGGGCAAGTAATTTACATACTAGCTACAGATATTACCCATTCCCTTCCCATTCAAGCTGAAGCCAGCATTTAACTTTCCCTGCTAACGAGTATGAAATTGCTTTGAAACCCAGTGTGCCGTAACGCAGTGCAAATCGCTGCATCACAGATCTGAAGAGTTTGTTAGCTATGCAATCTGAAACCCCAAAATCCTTCACATATAGCCATTACTCTTGATCCTTTCTCATTTAACTGTGGAACTGGGTGATGTTCAAGTGCATGTACAATGAGTGGCACTATGTAAGTACTAGCAGGCCAGAAATAGCAAGTAGTCCTGTACTATGCTATAAAGACTAACATTTTTATGTAACTTCCATTGTTTGAAAAGGATTACTATTTTAGCATTTCCTGATCTCCCACATGCTTGGCAACTGTCACACTATATATGCTGCCTGTGGCAGGAAGGGTGGGTATCTTGCAACACAAGACCGAATGGCTCTGCTAGGATAGAACGAATGCAAGAACTCTTGCACGCGTGCCAGGGCTCCAGGGGAAAACCTCCTTCATTAGATGCACAGGAAAAACTTCGCCTAGGATTCCACTTAATCCAGCTCTCTTTGCTAACAAGGGCCAGAAGTGGATGAACTGTCCGCCCTCGTGAAAAACTACTTCCTTATCCTCCTCAACTAGGGTTGATACAGTACGAATTTTGTCATTGGCTTCTGCAGAGACAGGACTTTGGCATCCAAGTTTTATACTGCCTACTGAATATTTAGTCTTGCTGTTAAATCGTGCCAGTAATTTCCAGAAGTTACATGATATAAAGAGCTAGGAATGCTATACTTCTTATAAGAGAAATGCTGTCTTTAAAATTAAGCTCTCCTTTGTGCTTGTGCAAGGTGGGGCATAAGAATGCCTAACTTACTTAAAATTTATTTGAAGTTCAGTGCTTTGAGTACTTTTGCCTCAGTGTAACATCACAGACTTTATTTTTCTAGATGCTTTTCAGATGGAACTCCTTCTGTGTCTCCAAGGATTTACATTGCATAGGCCTGCTGCAATAGGCAGCCCAAATTAAACACAGGTGAGCGTATGCACATTATTACATATTTGGGGTGGTGTGTACATATTTTCAAATGGTTCATTATTTATTTCAATTTCACAGCAAACATAACGTTTAAGCGGATACTTCAGCTGAGCTCTTCACAGTAATGGCCAATATTGGGATATCAGGAATTTAAAACACAAAAATATAGGATTGAATGGAATACCTAGATCACTGAGACCAGTTCCTTGCAACTGCAGAGATTTATGTAACGGAGACCAAGCCCAGAAGAAAAAATAGAATCACCACTCCATATAGTCTTACACAAAAGCAACAAAATGCAGTCAGGTGGAAGTACGCTCACGCAAAGGATACTGAACAAAATGCAGTCAGGTAGGTACTCATTACTTATCCAATGATCAGTATGATTTTTTCCTGTTATGGTTCTATCCGTTCATTTATCTAGTAGGTGCTTCTCAAACGCCTTCATTTTGTCTTGAATGTCCTAAAATCATCTCAAAACTTTGCTCTCTTTCCTTTTTATAATTGCCCAGTTGATTATGTTTTAAACACAGATGCCTTGGTCTATTCCTCTGAGATCCTGCCATTTGTTCCTGTTTTGTCCCAACTCCATAGCTATTTTGCAGTCCATGACAGTCCTCTGAGGTCTTATGACAGGGCCTCAGACCCTGTTTGCAAGGAACTTTTATCAATGGCTTCTTGCAAGTTTAACTAGACATTATCTGGTTTTCTGGAATATTTTGCTGAAGTACACAAAGACTCTTAGCAGAAAAATATGCCTGGAAGGGAACACCTGCGTTAGCGAGTCCAACCTCCTCGGCAGTCACAGGAAACGCTGCCATGGATGTTTAGGCCACCTGCCCTCACTTATCACAAGCCTCAACATAAATTTAAGTACCTGTAACAAATTTAACATTGATACTGCAAGAAACCAATGCTGCATGAACCACAGGAGGAGGTCAGAGATACTAATTCTTATCTTTCAAAGCTGGAGATTTAGGTAAAAGTCTTCTAAACAAATATGCTATCACACACTTCTGCCACTCTACAAGAAGGAGTAGATAGTGCTACTCTCCAGTTAAATCATCATGATGAACTACTAGGTTCAGACAGCTATGCCCAGCTACTCTAACGTGTTGTGTTGGGCTCACATATTAAAAATGTCTAGCCACCTGCACACGACCTAATCTCCATCAACACATTTACATGCAGAGCGCGTGCCGGTCAGCTCAGGTTGCAAATCCTTACTGATGGAAATATTCCTTCCTCTCTCTGCCACAATCTGAAACAGAACTTGCCACTGCTTCTGCTTTTATGTGCATGTCTTTACACGTAGACATTGATTGAAATCTAACGATGGATGCCTAAAGAGTTGACTGGCTCAGCTGTATCGACCTCAATACCATCAGCCAACAGCAACTGCGGCACTGGCAGATTCAAATACCTCTAGAGGTTAACGTACTTTTGCAGCACTGAAATGCAATTATTCTACCACATCCACTTTTGAACACACAAGGGAAAGTTTGCAACATCCTTTCAAATGTATGTACACAGAGAAAATTACTCTAATTGCTGTCTAAAAACTTGTATTATTCTACCTACTGCGTAGGCCTGTGCTCTGTTTTGAACTAGAACAGCTTGCAGGTTTGCGACAAATTTGGGATTTGCTTTGGTTAACAGCAGAAAACAACAACAACAAAAGTCCCAAAATACTGATGAACTTTTTGTCTCCAAGTTTAAGTTTAAAAATACAGAAACTCAGATATTCCTTTTTTTTTTTTTCCTGTTAACCACGCTCTTGCTTCTTCTGGTCTCCCCTGCAGCTTGACCTGAAGAAGATCCTGCCAATAATTTCACTTTTCTGGCCATATAAACATCAGTTTAAAACTATAAAAGGCTGAAGATTTAAAAAGGTCTCTAACTACAAAAATAATTTTGTTTCCTTTTTTTGAATAGCTTTGAACTGTTTTGGTGTGATAAGGCATTATCCAAATTGACCATAAAGGAAGATAATAGAACTTCATATGCATATAAAGTTTAGGAGAAATCTTCCGGTCTTTTTTTTCCTCTCCAAAGTCTAAAGGAAAATACCACAAGGAAGACTAGGTAGGAAACGTGAAAGCCATGCGGCTATAATCTGTTCCACCTGTGCATGGCTTTAGTACTAGAAATTTTATACCCTAAGCCCAGAAGATGGGATTACTGGATAATCATTTCTTGCTTCC